ATTAATAAAAAATAAAAATATGTAACTTAAAAAGTGTCATAAAGCATGCTTCTTGTGTTAATGTCAACAGGAGCACTTTATTTCAGTGATCAGTAGGCAAATACGGATTTCAGTATGAAGAATAAAATCCGGAAATGCAAGGCTAGTGGGAGAGGCCCTACAATTACCTACATAGTTTTATAAGGGCTAAGTCCTTTAACTCAACTCGTATTTAAGGCCGTGTCTTCCTTTTTTCAAATAGTGCAATTGAAGAAAATGTATTCTTACGACATGTAGGAGAGGATTCATTATTTCAGGTGAGGCGACAGGAGCTTAACAGAGAATGTCTTCCCTCACACAGTATTTGGAACGAGTCTGAGACGCAGCATATGGGGAGAGGAAAAAGCACTGGCAAGGATCCGGGGAACCCATTCTCTGTGTTATCTGGGTCAGCTGAAGTCACTTTTTTCACTTTAAAATCAGAGTAATGGATTATGATGTGCTAAGGTTCTCCCCAGCTCTGAAACATATTCTAATGGGCATCAGTAAACAGGGCTTTGAGAAAGGTACTTCTTTGGTAGATCAGTTATGTTCTCCCGACAATAAAACGGACAACAAACTTTCATCGATTTTTGAGTCTTCCTCTAGGTCCTTTTGGGGTTGGGTTAGAAAAAATAGGGTTTGTTCCCTTTTAGGCTGGTCCTCCGACGAGAGCGCTCGGGGCCTGCTGCGGGCCCAGCCCTCCTCTTTGGTCGCTCCCCAAGGCCGAGCGAGGCTCGCCCCTCTTCCCCACTCCACAGCAGGAGCGGAGGGACTCGCAGACACCAGTGCCCGGGTCATAAACAACCTCTCACTTCCCCTCCCCCGCCCTGGGCCCGCCCGCGCTAGGGCCGGCCCTCCGAGGCCCAAGACCCTCCTCCGGCGACCGCGGGCCCCGAGCCCTTCTCAGGAGGGCGGCCGCGAGCGTGCCCTCTTCTCCTAACTGGTGTTTGTTCACTTTACTCAGCCTTCCTCACTCGTCCACACTATAGCGACCTCACAGGGGGAAGCTGACACCAGCCCCCATTTCCCTTCCCCCGACCCCGATCACCTCCAACAGCCAAGGAGAGGCCGACCGCCCTGACGCGCACGCTCACAGCCGCGACCGCCCTGCGCGCGCCGATGCGGCCCCCGCCCCCACCCACGGTCCTTCCGCGGCCCGTCCCCGCCCCTTCCCGAAGCCCGCCTCCGCGTCTACCCGCCCGCTGGATCGCCCCTCACGCTCGCTCTCGCGCGCACCCGACGCCCCGCCTCCGCGCGTGCTCAATAACTGTCCCCAGGGCCGGCCTACAAGCTTCCCCCGCCCCTGAGCCGTTTGAATATGCTAATGAGAAGCTACAGACTAGCCAATAGAACGACGGGGCGGTGCATCACGTGGTTCGGGGACGTGTCAGGGGCGGAGCCTCTGCAGCCCCTGCCCGAATTAAAACCGGAGTGTGAGAGAGAAAAGCGCTTCAGTAGCGAGAGGGGCTGAGAAAGTGGTGACACCGTCGGGGTGCGGAGGGAGTCCCTGAAACTTCTCCCAACAGCCCCAGGGCCAATCTCCCCTCAGCCCACTCCCCTCTTCGCCAGCTCCCAGGTCCCCACTCCCTGCACCGGGGGTGGGGTGGGGAGCCAGGCCCGTCTCCCGCTGGGACACACACAGGGGCCGGGAGCGGGGACGGGACCCCCGAGGCGGGGGGGACGGACCGACAGACAGACGGCCGGGCGCCCGCCCCAGCGGGCAGGCAGGCAGGAGGAGGCGGAGGCGGGGGTACGACGGGGAGGACTGGGTCTGGGGAGTTTCCTCTCAACTATCGGGGGAGAAACTCCCCGCAGCCGGAGGAAAGACCCAGACGGTGTTTTCCTCCCGGGGGCCGCGCTCCCCCGCCCCGCGTAGCGGCGGTCGCCGCTGCCGCCACCGGCGCCTCCACCTCTACCATCTCTTTCTCCACCACCTCGGGCCCCGGTGTCCCCGGCCAGCACTATGCCCATCTTACTGTTCCTGATAGACACGTCTGCCTCTATGAACCAGCGCAGCCATCTGGGCACCACCTACCTGGACACGGCCAAAGGCGCGGTAGAGACCTTCATGAAGGTACCGACTGACCGAGCCCGGGCGGCGACCCCGGCCTGGCGCCCCGTTGGAGGCAGGGTGGGGGAGGGCGGCTGGGGGCGGCGGGGCCGCTGAGCGCCCCTTCTCCGCCTGGTAACCTCGCCTCTGTGCTTCCCTCTCGCCCGCCCTGTTCCTCCTCCCGTCCCGCAGCTCCGTGCCCGGGACCCTGCCAGCAGAGGAGACAGGTATATGCTGGTCACTTTCGAAGAGCCGCCCTATGCTATCAAGGTAACAGCCCTCGCCCTCCCCCTTTCCTCCCTTCCCTTCCCTGTTCCTTCCTCTCTCGCCCTCCCCGCCCCCCCATTCACCCTTCATTATGCTCCCCTCCCCCACCCGCCGCCCTCGGGGCGCTGAGGTCTCTTCCCTTGCGGGCTCCCACCCCCTCCCCCGCTCGGGAGCGTCCTGGCGCAGCACGGAGTCGCCAGGCCACCGCCGTCCCCTCCCCGGTCCGGCCGGGCCCGGCCCGCGCGGCGGCGGCGGCAGCGCTGCGATCAACATGGCCGACATTTCCCCTCCGCGGCGTGAGCGGCAGCAATGAACTGTGGGGGATATTTATTCAAGTTAGCCCGAGTGACAGCCGGGCCCGGCCGCGCCGAGCCCCGGTTTGCATTAAAGGGGAATCGGCCCGGCCGCCGAGGGAGCCCCATGGGGGGCTGTGAGGCTCGGGCTTGTCTGAGCCCTCCTAAGGGGGCCTCGGGCCGGTGGGACAGCTGTAGGTTAACTTCTGAAGTCCTGTTCCCATCTGCTTTCCACTAGCACCTTCACATGTCCGCATTTTGGGTATTATGTTAGGTAATAAATTTGCCAGTGAAGTTATAAAGTACTAAGGCCGTTAGCTACCAAAAGCTATAGAGCAAGTAGGTTTATTCCTGGCCACCGTTTGGAAGAGAGTTTCCTTAGGCGTGATATGGTATTAATACATTAGCCAAGCTATACCAACCAAAAGTGAGGCGCGGCTACTTGGTGCATGTCAGATTAGAACGGCTGTCCGTGTGTACCTGGCTTTGAAAGATGAAAAAAAAAAATTCTTACATTTTTCTTTTCAGGCTGGATGGAAAGAAAACCATGCAACGTTTATGAATGAACTGAAAAACCTTCAGGCTGAAGGACTTACGACTCTTGGCCAATCCCTAAGGACAGCTTTTGATTTATTAAATTTAAATAGATTAGTAACTGGCATAGACAACTATGGGCAGGTAGGTTGAATAAGGTGGCAAAATAGTTAATTTTTGTTTTCGTGGAAAAACACAGTCCAGTCCAAAAACTATATAACATGAAATACAAGTGTAAAACATTTCAGATTAAAATACAATGTGCACATAGTACAAAGGTAAAACTCTCACCCTGTTGTGTATAGTTTTACATCCCTCGTTTTTTTCCTCTTTAGAATGCATTTGTATTCAGAATTAGAATCTGAATTCTTTGCTATGAAGTTGACATGAATTTGGTTTTAGTCCCTTGGAAGTTCACTAAAGACATAAAAGGGAAAACATCCTGCCTCACCAAACTCAGCTACTCTGATACTCTACCCATACGCAAGTGTGCAACTATTTCAATGGATTACAGACACTAGTTGATTACTGGTCTCTCTATATTAGTAAAAGTGTTAGAGGAAATTATTCAGTTTGTTCCATCAGGGTTTAATTTAACCACAGCGTATATGTACTCTGAAATTTAAGAAGATTTTCATTAGAATGCACTGGCTGAGTACATTAAGGTTTCTCTTTAGAAGCATACACAGTTAACTTGCAGGAAAAATTCTGAATTGCAAGTCTAGAGTTTTGTTTTGAACTCCAAACCCTTGGCAGACAGACTGGAAAATATGAAGGAACCCTTCCTTCCTTCCATAACTCCCTCAAGTCCCTTTTTGCACTTTCATCTATTTGAGGATGAGACTAACCTTTATCACAGGATGGTTCACTAAGGAATAACGCAAGGTGGTCCCTCATAACCTTTTGCTACCCTGGAAATAAAAAATACTGAAGAATGTGTAATGTTACATATTAACAAAGGAATATTATTCTCAAGGAGTTCAATTATTATGTTGTACAAAATACTATTACCATAATGATATATTTAGGTATGTGTTGTGTTCTTTTCCCAAGTTCCATAGTCCCCCATTATCAAGAGTTTCACATATTTGTGTGACTACAACTTTTATTTGCTTGATGTAAAAGAAACTGAACTGTTCCCCTGTTGAGAAATCTTTATGCTTTATTTCTTAGGAATAACTATTCAGCACTTAAAAATGTTTACAAATGGTTGAATTTAGTCCTGTAGCATTTAGAGTGTACATTACAATTCACAGTCGTTTTACCACATTGAACTTCTGTCATTTAATTAGGTAAATGTGTATTTTCTTACCACATTAATATTTCTATTTTTTCCCTTTTCTGTAGTGCTTCATTTTGCAACTCCATACTTTAGGTAGATTTGCCATGAACTTTTTGGTTTGCTTCTTGAAATAATGATTTCTTTCTCTTTCATATTCCTTTGTTATACGTAGTACTACACAGTATTTTATTGCTTAAGATTTTCATCCAGACTTTGAGTTCAAAGATGTTTGAAACTTACCATTATGTGGTTACCCGATTTGGTTGTCAGTTGTCACTGTATAGAAGAGCTATTAATTTCCAGTTTTTCTGCATCACATTTCATAAGTGGGCAAGGCATTTGTACACATTTACCTCCTACTATCTATTGAAACTATTCCTTAGAATGCTTCCTTAGAAGAACTACTTCTAATGGAGAAGCTGAGGACATTTGTAACTTAAGCTTGTATTTTCCTTTTCCCAGTTGCCATCTGCCACCAGAGAACACTTTAGTTCTGGTCTATAAAGATTACAAAAAGTTTGAGGGCAAGGTGGTGCTGCTGTGCTGTTAACACTTTGACCAAGAGAAGAGCCTGAAGATTGGAATGTTACTGTTTATTAATTCAACAACAGGGAGGGATAATGCTTGTCAATTATTTTGATGAGTAAGCAAGGATGCAAGGCATAATATTAATGCTTATGTCTTGAATTGGCACATAAAAATGACACTGGCATTAAAATAAGAAGCCACAGTTTCCAAATGAAAGTGATTATTTGAGTAAAGAGTATTCAATTAGAAGAAAACATCTTTGCAGAAGATTTTTTTCATCATAAAAGTATTTTTCTTGCTGATATAAACATTTCACATTTTCTGTTCATAAAAAGGATAAATTGTTAGGAATTTTGGATGTCTCATATTTAACACTAAATACCATTCATGTGTTTTCTTCTTTGTAAAAGTACTTTGTATCTGCCTGTTTTCTGTGGAATACCTTTATACTGTAACCTCAGTGTTTTTACTTAAGTGCTTCCTTTTTCATGCTCTATACTAGGATCTATGGAGCCCACAGTACTAAATACTTGTATATAATCTCAGTAGTTGAAAGAAATGAAGAAAG